GGTTTAAAAAAATTAGCTTCTTTTAATAGGCAGCAAAGAGAAATGGGAAGGAAATGGGTGAGAAACCACTTCATCCTCTCAATTTAATATGGAAGAGACAGTGGAATGTGCAGTTGGTACTGATTTACATGTCTTTTTTTTTTTTTTTGAGACAGCCTCAAGCTGTCACCCTGGGCAGAGTACTGCGGCATCACAGCTCACAGCAACCTCCAATTCCTGGGCTCAAGCGATTCTTCTGCCTCTGCCTCCCAAGTAGCTGGCACTACAGGCACAACGCCCGGCCATTTTTTGGTTGCAGCCATCATTGTTGTTTGGCTGGCCTGGGCTGGATTCGAACCCACCAGCTCAGGAGTATGTGGCTGACGCCTTAGCCACGTGAGCCACAGGTGCCGAGCCTGCCTTAACATTCTTAACATCACATGCCATAAAACATGTCTTAACAAAATTAAGAAGACAGATTATCATATCAAATACCTTTTTAGACCTGAGTAGTATAAAACTAGAAATCAATAACAGAAGGAACCTGAGAAAATTCGCAAATACATGGAAATTAAATAACATGCTCTTGAATAAGCAATGGTTCAATGAAGAAACTCAAAGGGGAATTAAAAACTTTCTTAAGACAAATATGGAAATATACAACTACCAAGACTTACGCCAAGACTAGCAAAAGCAGTTCTAAGAAGGAAGTTTATAGCAACAAATGCCTACATTAAAAAAAATCAAATAAACAACCTAATATTGACTTCAAGGAACTAGAAATATAGGAACAAAATTAACACATAATTAGTAGAAGGAAGGAAATAATAAAGACCAGAATATAAATAAAGACTAGAAACACAAAAGTTAAAGAAACAAAGATATATAGTTTTTCAAAAAGATACACAAAATTAATAAACCTTTATCTAGACTAAAATAAAAAGAGAAGATTCAAACAAAATCAGAGATAAAAAAGACATTACAACTAATACCACAGAAATACAGAACAGAAAAAAAATATAAAGAAGAAATACAGAACAAAAGAGAACAATTTTACACCAACAAACTGGATAACAGAGAAATGGATAAATTCAGTAGGTTCTTTACAATCTACTAAATTTGAATTACGAAGACAAAAATCTTAACAAACCAATGATGAATAAGGAGATTGAATCAGTAATAAAGAGTTTGCCATCACAAAAAAGTCGAGAACTGAATGGCTTAACTGCTCAATTCTAAAAATATATAAAGAATTAACACAAATTCTTCTCAAACTCTTCTAAAAAATTAAAGAGGGAAGAATGCCCCCAAACACATTCTTCAAGGCCAGCATTACCTTTGATACCAAAACCATACAAGAAACAAAAAAAAAGTAAAAGTATATGCCAATATTCCTGAAGATAAATGTCCAAATCCTTAACAGAATATTAGCAACCTGAACAACAGTGTATTAAAAAGATCATTCATGGCTCAGTGCCTGTGGCTCAAGTGGCTAAGGTGCCAGCCACATACACCTGAGCTGGTGGGTTCAAATCCAGCCTAGGCCCGCCAAACAACAATGATGGCTGCAACCAAAAGACAGCCAGGCATTGTGGCTTGCGCATGTAGTCCCAGCTACTTGGGAGGCAGAGGCAGGAGACTTGCTTGAGCCCAGGAGTTGGAGGTTGCTGTAAGCTGTGATGCCCTAGCACTCTACCCAGGGCGACAGCTTGAGGCTCCGTCTCAAGAAAAAAAAAAAAGATCATTCACTATGATAAAGTGGGAATCATCTCAGGGAAGCAAGAATTATTAATATATGCAAACAAATACATGTGATACATCACATTAACAGAAGGAAGGACAAAAACCGTATGACTATTGCAACAGATGCAAAAAAATCATGTGACAAAATTGTTGAATCCCTTCAGGATAAAAACTCTCAACAAATTAGGTATAGAAAGAATGTACCTAAACAAACAAAGGCCATATATGACAAACCCATAGATCACATCATTCTGAATGAGAAACAATCGTAAGCTTTTCCTCTAAGATCTACAACAAGAAAAAGATGCCTACTGTTCACAACATCTATTCACCACAGTAGCTGAAGTCCCCAATGACACCAATTGAACAAGAGAAAGAAATAAAAGGCATCCAAATCAGAAAGAAGTTATTGCCCCCATTTATAGATATCATAATTTTTATTTCTTTAAGTTTTTAATTAATTAATTAACTTATTTTTGAGACAGGTTCTTGCTCAGGGCTAAAGTGTAGTGGCATCATCATAGCTCATAGCAACCTCAAACTTCTGGGCTTGAATGATCTTCCTGCCTCAGCCTTCCAAGTAGCTGGGACTATGGGCACATCCACTATGCCTGGCTGATTTTTCTACTTTATAGAGATGGGGTCTCGATCTTGCTCAGGCTGATCTCAAACTCTTGACCTCAAGTGACTTGCATCTCTCAACCTCCCAAAGTGCTAGGATTACAGACATGACATGAGCCACTGTGCCCGGCCAGACGACATCATTATATTTTAATTAATTAATTGGTTAATTAATTTTGAGACAGTCTGGTTCTGCCACCCTGGGTAGAATAGCGTCATCATAGTGCACAGCAACCTGAAACTCTTGGGTTCAGGGGACCTTCCTTTCTTAGCTTCCCAAGTAGGTAGGACTATGGGACCATACCACTATGTCCGACTAATTTATGTATTTATTGTACAGACAGGGTTTCCCTCTTGCTCAGGTTGGTCTTGAACTCCTGACTTCAAGTGATCCTCCCACCTCAGCCTCCCAGAATGCTAGGATTATAGGTTTGTGTCACTACCCCCAGCCCCAGATGGCATTAATTTTTTATACAGAAAACCCTAAAGATGCCACCAAAAAACTGTTAGCACTAGTAAATGAATTCAGTAAAGACTCAGGATACAAAATCAATACATAAAAATTAGTTGCACTTCTATATGCTAACGGCAAATTGTCTGAAAAAGAAATCAAGAAAACAATCCCACTTACAATAGTCTTTACAAAGAACTACAAGGCCTGTATGCCCTTGCATATTCCTTCTGTTCCTCAGCTCCTGTCACTCTCCCTTTGTGCTAACACAAGAATCTTTCAGGTGTTCCTTGAGTATCCCAAGCATGCTCTTCCCTCAGGGTCTTTGTACACTCTTCCCTTCTCTGCCGAGAATGATCTCTCTCCCAAATAACTGATGGGTCACTCTATTTCCTTCAAGACAAGTATCTCCTTCTCAGTGAGGTCTACGCTGCCTACCTTATGTAACACAGTAAGTCCAGCTTCCAATATTCCCTATGCTTCATTCTTTGCTTTGCTTTTCTTTGTAACATTCATCCAGTCTTATATATAAGTTATCCATTGATTGATACCTTTTATCCCCTCTTTGGAATGTATGTAAGATCCATGAAGATAGGATGTTTCTATGTCCACTACTGTCTAACACTGCTTGGCAAATAGGAAGTGCTCAATAAGTATTTATTAAACAAGTGAATAAAATGAGAAAAGGAAGATGTCACCTGATTAGGAACATGTTACAATATGATGAAGATTCTAAATTATATTTCACAATGCCTGGATTTCTATTCTTACACATGACAAAGAAGTATCTCTTTAACAAAATAAGAGATGAGCTAACTTCAAAGTTATCTAGACATAAAACAATTTTGCCCCTACATTGATATTAGTATTAATAATGACAGGGACACCTAGGGTATAATTATTAGCTAGAAAGATGATTAATATTAATACCTACACAAATGCTTTAAGGGAAACGTGTATAATCATTATTACAGTCAGAGTGGAATCTAGTGTCAAACTCTGTCACTTTCTTTCTTTCTTTTTTTTTGAGCCTCAAGCTGTTGCCCTGGATAGAGTGCCATGGCATCACAGGTCACAGCAACCTTCAACTCCTGACTTAAGCGATTTTCTTGCCTCAGCCTCCCAAGTAGCGGGGACTATGGGTACCCACCACAACGCCAGGTATTTTTTGGTTCTAGTTGCCATTGTTGTTTGGAGGGCCCAGGCTGGATTCGAATCCTCCAGCTCCAGTGTATGGGGCTGGCGCCCTAGCTGCTTGAGCTACAGGTGCCGAGCCAGCTCTGTCACTTTCTAAGGCAAGTTTATGTCTCATTTTCCTCCATCATGTTGATAGGATGATTAAATAAGACAATATGTGTTCCAGCACTTACATTAAATGGTAATTATAATTAGCACAGTATCTAGAACATAAGCTCTCAATATATAAGCTATTATCATTATAATCAAATTAGAAGCTTCTGGTAATTTATTCATAAAGTTACTAAACCATTGGTCCACCTGGTGAGGACTATAATGTATATAAAAACAAGTACTAGAAATTAATTGCCACATAAGAATGTAGAACATTCAAAACATATTTATACCAGTAGTATTTTTTTTTTTGAGACAGAGCCTCAAGCTGTCACCTTGGGTAGAGTGCCATGGTGTCACAGCTCACAGCAACCTCCAACTCCAGGGCTCAAGCGATTCTCCTGCCTCTGCCTCCCAAGTAGCTGGGACTACAGGCGCCCACCACAATGCCTGGCTATTTTTTGGTTGTAGGTGTCATTGTTGTTTGGTGGGCCCAGGCTGGATTCGAACCCGCCAGCTCAGGTGTATGTGGCTGACGCCTTAGCTGCTTGAGCCACAGGCACCGAGCCTATTCCAGTAGTATTAAAGTATTATATTTTGATGGATGTGTTACTTAGTTCAATGTAAGCATTTCACATTGTATATCAAAGCAGTACCCTAAACCCCATAAATGTATCAATGTACAAATTTATGATTTAATAAAAAATAATAAAAAAAGTACTATATTTTCTAGTACTATATTTTCTAGTATCCAGGGTTTTGTTTATAAGTCATATGTAGTTCAGACTGAGTATTCTTTTTCTTTTCTTTTTTTTTTTTGAGACAGAGCCTCAAGCCATCCCCCTGGGTAGAGTGCCATGGCATCACGCTCACAGCAACCTCCAACTCCTGGGCTCAAGCGAGTCTCCTGCCTCAGCCTCCCAAGTAGCTGGGACCACAGGCGCCCACCACAATGCCTGACTATTTTTTGGTTGCAGCTGTCATTGTTGTTTTTGGCAGGCCTGGGCTGGATTCAAACCTGCCACCTTAGGTGTATGTGAGTGGCGCCTTAGCCACTTGAGCCACAGGCACTGAGCCAGGCTGAGTATTCTTTATACAAAATGATTAAGTGTTTTGGCTTCCAGATTTTGGAATATTTGCATTACTGGTTGAACATTTCTAATCTGAAAATCTCCAATGGGCATTTCCTTTGAATATCATGTTGGTGCTCAAAAACTTTTGGCTTTGGAGCATTTTACATTTTGGATTTTTAAATTAGGAGTACTTGACCTGTATAAAATTCAACTATTTACTGTATAACTTTAATTTGTATCTGCAGTTCTCAATCTTTTATTCTTCTCCAGCAGACTTGAGAGATATGGCATATTCCTACTACAAACAGTGGCTCTGTGGACCAGTGATTCTCTACCATGTGAGAGGAACATGGCAAGCAGTACTATGGGAGGGGTTATCTTCATTTGAAAATTACCAGTTCACATAGCAGAAATCATTTTCAAAAGGAAGTCAAGAAATGGATTTAAATCTCCATAGAAAACTAAGCATATGTCACAGATCTATTTCTTTAATTTATATCCCAGCATGTACACATTAAGTCTCTTACTAGCGTATTTTCTCCATTGGAACTATTCCAGAGCCGCATTCGATTATCTGTACCAACAGTCAGGAGGTGAAGCCCATCACTTGTAAAGCATAAGCCATTAACTTTCCCGTTATGAGCAGTGTTTGCTGCAATAAAAAATACAGTTTAGTCTACCTGTTCCTGTATTCAATATATATTTAATGTCTGATGATATAATTATTTAAACATATTAAAAGACAACTATTTGAGTTACTTAAAAAATTTAAGTTGATTTTATTTATTTATGAGCGATAGGCTCTTGTTCTGTCATCTAGGCTGGAGTGCAGTGGTCTGATCATAGCTAACTGCAACCTCAAACTTCTGGGTCCAAGTGATCATCCCACTGCAGCCTTCTGAGTAGGCAGCACTATAGGCAATTATATTTAAAATTAACCAGACCATTGGATTATTTGAATATGATATGCTACATAAATATGAACCACAAAAACAGAGAAAAACAAGAAAATCCAAAGGCAAAAATTCTGGCCAAATATTGTTTTTTTCCTAGCAAAGAAGCTGTGCCATCAAATTCAATTAAGTGTGTAGTTTAACATTAAAATTTTAAATTAAACATTTTTATCCCCCTTACATAATAACATAAACTTCTCATAATAATCCATTTCTAATCTAAAAATAATTCCATGCACTATTAAAAATCAACAATACTAGTGTTTTCCATTTAAAAAAACCTTAACAGGGAAAGGATAACTGTTCTAGTCTCAAAACTTATTTCACTTTCTTTTTCTTTTTTTCTTTTTTTTGAGACAGAGCCTCAAGCTGTCCCCCTGGGTAGAGTGCCATGGCATCACAATTCATAGCAACCTCCAACTCCTGGGCTCAAGTGAGTCTCCTGCCTCAGCCTCCCAAGTAGCTGGAACCACAGGTGCCCACCACAATGCCTGGCTATTTTTTGATTGCAGCTGTCATTGTTGTTTGTCAGCCCCGGGCTGGATTCGAACCCACCACCTTAGGTGTATGTGGCCGGCGCCCTAGCCACTTGAGCCAAAGGCACTGAGCCATCACTTTCAAAATGAACAAATTTGCTAGACGTGTGAGGGATCATGCCTATAATCCCAGCACTTTGGGAAGCCAAGGACAAAAAGCACTTGAAGCCAGGAGTTTAAGACCTGTTTGGGCTACACAGTGAGACTGTATCTCAAACAAAAACAAAAACAAAATTAACAAGTTTGAGAAAGCATAATTTTTTTTTTTTTTCTGAGAAAGGGATTGGCTTTGTCACCTGGGCTAGGTGCAGGGGTATCATTTTAGCTCACTTCAACCTCAGACTCCTGTGGGGAAGTCATCCTCCTGCCTCAGCCTCCTGAGTAGCTGGGACTACAGGTACATACCACCACACCAGGCTAACCTTTTCTTTTTGATAGAGACAAGCTCTTGCTCAGGCTGGTCTTGACCTCGTGACCTTAAGTGATCTTCCTGCCTTGGCCTCCCAGAGTGTTAGAATACAGGAGGGAGCTGCCATGCCCAGCCAGAAAGCATTATTCTTAATACTCTGATTAATTTAACTAAGAAAGATTACTAAAACAATCATAAGTTTTATATAGTTCATCTTAATATATTTCTGGTCCAGAATTAATTCTGAATCAAAATTTCTACACAGAAATTAAATTCTATTATAAAAATGCAATTGAGGTACTTTGTCACATAGATTGCAGCTGACTCACTTAACAAAATTTTATGGCCACAAAATGTTACTATTTCTGTAATGTACTGGGGCTTCCTAAAAGACAGTGAATTTGTATAAGCTGACTTCATTGGAGGAAAATCAAAATCAGTATAGCAAGTTCATCCAGAAAAGTTTCTATCTTTGAAAATTTAATGACAAATGAAACTGCCATACTTACTTGTACCTGGAAGAAAGACAACTATAACTTAGTTTATGTAAATTTATAAAGTGATGTATGATAAATACCTTTTTTAAAAAAGATAGCATTTATAATTTATCAATATGCATTTATTATTTAGTTTCAATTAAAGTTTTTCCATGTGAAGAGAAACCAACATTGTCATATTTCTGTATTAATGCATTCTATATTACCTGATTCCGCAGCTTGTGACTTTTTCCCATTATGCTGATCGAGAGTAATCAAACATCCTGATGCTCTCCTCACATCCCATAACTTTACTCTACTGTCAGCACTGAGAAGAAATAAATTTCAAATTGACATATGTAGCTAGGATACTGACTGTACCCCATACCCGTCTTTCCAGTATTATGGCAAACAAAGTCTCATCATAATAGTGGAAATATATTTGTACATTTGGCAGGGGATTATACTTTTTGTCACCCTTGGTAGAGTGCTGTGGCGGCACAGCTCACAGCAAACTCTTAGGCTCAAAGATCTTTTGCCTCAGCCTCCAGAGTAGTTGGGACTACAGGTGCCCGCCACAATGCCTGGCTGTTTTTAGAGATGGGGTCTCACTCTGGCTCGTCTGGAACCTATAAGCCAGGTGATTCGCCTGCCTTGGCCTCCCGGCATGCTAGGCTTACAGGCGTGAGCCACTGTGCCTGGCCAGGGTTATACTTTTGCCTCTTCAGTTAATAGTAGCACAGAGAAGTAAATAAATTGCAAAAAAAGAGTAAGCTTTTTTTTTTCAGATCACAAGGACAAAATTTTGCTGCTTTTTATGTTGTTTTTAGTTACATGATCATATTTTCTTCCACGGCCTAGATAGGCTTGCAGTTTGCTTCTACCAAGTTTGTTACTACATCGTTTTTATTATTCAAATGCTATCAAGACAATCAGGCAGTTAACTAATTTCACTTTGCTTAAGAATCATTTGGCGTGGATTTGGGTTTTTTCTAATAAAAGATTGATAGTAAGATGAATAATGAGGACAATATATTTCCATCTGGTTTTCTGTACTCAAGTCAATCTTTGTCAGATATATAAGAACTATACTTAATGTCACCTAAATATGAGATATTTATTTTCATTTTCTTTCAAGTAAGTGAAGAGAATTTCAGTTTCTATACTACTCCAAAAGAAAACTGCCCAGCAAACCTAGGTGCCTCTAATCACATCAATGGATGCTATTATCTCCTTATAAAGACCTCAATAATATTCTAATTTATTTGGTTTATCTATGTCATTTAAGTAAGAGAGAACATTATATCACATTTAGTAAGCTTATTTTTCATTTGTGAATCAGAGTTTATTGCCTTCTGTTAATATAATCTTGATCTTTTTATAGATAAACATCAAGTGAAGCCAAGAGAATAGCCAGCAAAAAGCTAGCCTTTCCCATTCTTACTTTGCCTTTCTTTCATTCCAATTGAAGAAAATATCTGCAATAAAATGAGTGTGAGGGCTTGGCGCCTGTGGCTCAGTGGCTGGGGCACCAGCGACATGCACCTGAGCTGGCGGGTTCAAATCCAGCCTGGGCCTGCCAGACTACAATGATGGCTGCAACAACAACAACAAAATAGCTGAGTGTTGTGATGGGCACCTGTAGTCCCAGCTACTTGGGAGGCAGAGGCAGGAGAATCGCTTGAGCCCAGAGGTTGGAGGTTGCTGTGAGCTGTGATGTCGCAGCATTCTACCCAGGGCAACAGCTTGTGGCTCTGTCTCAAAAAAAAAAAAAAAAAAAGACTAGTAGAGGGCCTGTGACTCAGTGGGTAGGGTACCAGCCCCGTATACTGAGGGTGGCGGATTTGAACCCGGCCCTGGCCAAACTGCAACAAAAATACAGCCGGGCATTGTGGTGGGCGCCTGTAGTCCCAGCTACTCAGGAGGCTGAGGGAAGAGAATCGCCTAAGCCCACGGCTGGAGGTTGCTGTGAGTGTTCCCCACGCCACTCTACCGAGGGGGACAAAGTAAGACTCTTTGTCTCAAAAAAAAAAAAAAAAAAAAAAGAGTGTGAGGATTTAAGTTTCTTCTGAAACAGATTAGTTTTGAACCAACTCAATACCGATAACTAGCTCTATCTGGTACTGATTCAAATTCCTAGGGATACTTTGAGAATTGAAAGCCTCTTAGCTTCCCTCTGGTCTCAGGAAAACCAAGGTAAGCATGAATAATGTAAATTCATCCCAATATGAACCGGAAACAAGCACTTTTTAACACCTCACTTTAGTATCTCTTTAGTAAGTCTTCCTATTTCTATTCTAGACTTTGCTATACTTCAGAAATCACAAATTTCAACATCACATTCTGCAAATTATTTTATTATTTTCTGCAAATTATTTTATTATTATTTTTTGTACAGACAGAGTCTCACTTTATTGCCCTTGGTAGAGTGCCGTGGCATCACACAGCTCATAACATCCTCCAACTCCTGGGCTTAGGCAATTCTCTTGCCTCAGTCTCCCCAGTAGCTGGGACTACAGGTGCCCACCACAACGCCCGGCTATTTTTTGGTTATAGTTGTCATTGTTGTTTGGCGGGCCCAGGCGGATTTGAACCTGCCAGCTCTGGTATATGTGGCTGGTGCCTTAGCAGCTTGAGCTACAGGCGCTGAGCCAGAAGTCAACAATTTCTAAACACGAGGTAAATACACATTGTTCAGTCTGTATCATTTAATGTTTTGATTTCTATGGCTTAGTTCAGCAGTGGTCTACACCTTCAACCGAGCACGACTGCTCAGCAATCCCATATGCTTATTTAATCTGTTATTCCAGATCCTTACTACCTTCCCTCAAAATTGCATCCCCAATCTTGTATTTTCAACAGATGACATCAAGTCCACTAAAAACCAATAAAGACCATTAGGTTTGCATTTCTTTGAGCTTCTCTGCTAAAGCTACAAACTTGACTGTACTCACATTTACTTTTTCCCCTTTCCATTAGGTCTTCCATTGCTCTAACGTGTCAAATCGTGTGTTCCTCCATCCCGCCCAGTTCGGACTCTCAGATGCTCTCCCCTCTTGTCTACTTCAGCCTGTATGTACTAATTATATCCTCCATTTCTCTCCATTGGTACTTGCTTCCCAGTACATAATACACAATAGTCTTCCCTCTAACAAAGAATACCCCCCTAATTTTTCGAGTCTCTGAGTTAAATGTTTCTGCTTTCTTTTCCTTTATTACATCTTACAAAGTACCTCTATTAAAGCATTTTTTAGGATGTCCTGTAATCCTTGATTTTTCTGACTGTATCCCTCAGTAGATTATTAGCTTCTTGAAGCCTTGGTTGCTTCTTGTCCTTAGCACATGGTAGGCTATCATTAAATATTAGTAAACTTTATCAGTGAGTAGATGGCTGTGCTATATCAGATTCAAAATATTTCTAGGTTAAAGAAAAGGAATAAAAATGCAACTATTTTTAATTAACATAATCTTGCACTTTTGTGTGCAAAAATAACACAACACAGCTGTTTCACTACCTGTGCTTGTACGTCTGCATTATTACATAGATCTCATGTTTTCTTTTTGTTCCAAAAGGCAAACATCTTCATGATGGATAGTTAGAACTGAGAGTATGATGCAAAGTTTAAAGATTTAATTTGGTGACATAAACTAAAATCTCTAATTCAGTATTTCATTTTTAAGGGGCTAATTACTAACCAAATACAGTAGGACTTCCACAGTTGAATGCCTCCTTACATTGATCACCTCCTTAAGTTACCTAATTTTCATGGACTGGACACGCATCACATGTACATTATCAGTACAGTAGGCCTAATTCCATATGTTGACCACCGCCGTATGCTGACCAGTTAGTTAATACTCCTTTGGGTGGTTAACTTACAGAGGTTTTACTGTATGCTAAAATATATACCTTACATAAATGTAGTCTTTTCAAAATGCTTATTATTTATTACTAATATTAACTTCAAAACCAAATAAGTTAAATTTTACCTTGCAGTTGCCAAGATATAATCGTAACGTGGTGACCAAGAAACTGCCAATATTTCTTGTCTGTGACCTGCAAATACAACTATATGAAAAGTCTTACAAAATGTTTGAAAATCAATAAGTAAAATACCAATAATTTGACTAGATTCTGAAGTGAGATTAAACATTAAACATATTTTCATATTTAGTCTTTATTTAGACTGTACATAATAGTCTTTTAAATATTAAAAGTGAATGAACAGGATCATTTGTGTCACATTTTCAATAATCTGTTTAAATGCTAATGTGAAGACTATGGAGGTATTTCTAACACATGGCATTTTATGACAAAAGAAATGGTTTTCCTTTGGAAAAAACTGTCAGAATAAGCAAGTCTCTTTTTTTAAAGTGGCTGTTCATCTATTCCATATAACTGAAGTTTAATTACTTATCACTATATCAAAAGGCCACTACAACAAAACAGACAAGATAAACTTTTTTTTTTTTTTTTTTTTTAAGACAGAGTTTCACTATGTTGCCTTGGGTAGAGTGCTGTGGTGTCACAGTTCACAGCAACCTTCAACTCTTGGGCTTAAGCAATTCTTTTGCCTCAGCCTCCCAAGTGGCAGGGATGACAGGCACCCGCCAGAATGCCCGGCTATTTTTTGTTGGAGCTGTCATTGTCATTTAGCTGCCCCAGGCCGGGTTTGAACCCACCACCTTTGGTGTATGTGGATGGCGCCGTACCCACTGTGCTAGGGGTGCTGAACCAAGATAAATATTTTAAAGAATATAAATGCTTTCTCATTTCTCATAGTTGAAAAAAAAAAAAACCTTTAATTTGTAATTGTAAAAATCATTTATATAAATTTTTTTCCTAAAAAGCACAGGTGGTGAGGCAGCGCCTGTGGCTCAAGGAGTAGGGTGCCGGCCCCATATGCTGGACGTGGCAGGTTCAAACCTAGCCCCGGCCAAAAACTGCAAAAAAAAAAGGAAAAGCACAGGTGGTAAGTTCATAGGGTGACTTCAACATTTTAATTTACTTTTACCTAATGGAACCACTCAAACTACTCAGTAGTAGTATATTTTTACTTTATATTAATAGAAATTATAATATGTAAAAACATGCTAGCCATATCACCAAGTATATTTTATATATTTATGTGTTTCTCAGAGATGAATAAAAATGTATATATATTTTTTGTTGTTGTTGCAGTTTGGCCAGGGGCAAGTTCGAACCCAATACCCTGGGGCCGGCACCCTACTCACTGAGCCATAGGCGTCGCCCAATAAAAATATATATTTCTAAATTACATTCAATGTTTACATTGTTTAGAATCAGACAATCTAATACTGATAAAGTAGCAAAAAATATCTTTATTTCTTTTTCTTTTTTTTTTATAGTGCATGAATCTGTGGCAAGCAAAAATAATTTAAATTGATATACTTTTACAAAACAAAGTGTTAGTTTGACATCTTTTTTCTAAACTATTTTTTACTAAAAATGCACCTAAATATTCAGAACAATGTTTACTCATTAGTCAAAATGTTAAACAATTCACATGAGACATTAGTAGTTTATTCTTAAAAATGTAGAAATAACACAAGGTTTTGAGTTAGACCTTTATTTTCTATTTCCCTTTGAGCTCCCTGTGACCATTGTTCATGTAAATGTCTTCTCAATTGTTTAGTTTATAAGAATAATGCACAGAAGCATCTTTATTTCCTTGTTGACTTTTAACAACTAGCACAAAATACATCAGTCATGTCCCTTACAAAGAATAGATTGTTAGTAATGTTTCTTTTTATTGAATGGTTTACTCAAAGTAGTTGTTGTTTGAAATAAAAAAAAGTACCCTGTAGAATGTGAGAACAGGCTCCAGACTTTAAGTCACAAAGTTGTACTTTGGGTCCTCTAGTACCAACTGTAAAAACAAAAACAAATATGGTTTAAAATAACTTCATTATAAATCATCATCAAAAGGAAATACAATATCATCATTAAGAACCATGATATTTTTACAGCACACATGCAGAAATACAAAAATGTATGCCAAAAATATATTCAAGTTATTTTAAATATTTATTTATTTATTTTATTTTTTGACAGTAGAAACCTTTGTTTTTGTTTTTTTTTTTTTGCAGTTTTTGGCCAGGGCCGGGTTTGAACCCGCCATCACTGGTATATGGGGCCAGCACCCTACTCCTCTGTGCCAAAGGCACCGCTCGACAGTAGAAACCTTTTAATGAGACAAGGCAAACAGTGAGCGGAAAATACTCCAGGGTGAAAGAAGGCTGAGGACACTAAAAGAGACGGCAGCTCAAACGATGACTTAAATATATTCCAGAGTCACTATTTATACTTAAAGCAATTTTAAAAGTGAGGTCTTAACAAAAAAGCCTTTACAAGGCATCTAAAAAAATTTAAATCCTTTGAATTACTAAAACAACTAAATTATCTACTGGAAATCTGTACAGCAGGGACCTGTTTTCAGCAGGTAAGCCTATTTACAGAGTAAGAACTTCTTACTCTTGTAACGTCGTACTGTTTTAAGAGAATATATAACTCCTGTCCCTGCAAAGGTAGTCCATAAGGCCTCAGTGGTTCCACAGAAATATGGACCTAGCTCTGCTAGAGGACAATTTACCCTGCACTGTAAACACACACACACCTGCCCCCACTAGGCAGTAGTTGCCTTGAGGAAGGGTTATGACCCATTCATTTTGTATCTACACTGACAACACATTGACACTCAACTTTTAAGCACAAACGCCAAATGATGTTACAACACCATTGCTATTTCCATCTTTAACACTCCTACTGTTACCCATTTCCCAAACAAAACCCCCAACTGATGCCACATTTACTATGGTTTTCACAACATAGGCCTTCTGTACTTTTTAATGTAAACAAACATGCTTGATTTACTAATTCTCAAAGTAATGACACAAACTTAGCATTTTCCTCGGAATGGAAACTTGCTTAGAAGTAACTTCATTCTTTTTCTTTTTCAAAAGTGCATCCGCCAGCTGCTTTTCTTGGAAGGAACACTTATTTTTTGACCCATGTTCCGACTATACGGCATCACCATAAAGTTCTTCTGTTTTTCTTCTCTTCATTTGTGGAACTGGAAAATGGATTTATTTTTGTTTTCTTCCTTACAGATTCCTTCCAATCTGTCTTTCCAGCCACTGCAGTTGCCAATCTTGTCTCCTTATCAGATTTTGGCTTTTTATGAAGGTGTTCAATGTCCTGAAGAGAAAGTAATTCGCCCCTGGTTCCTCATCACTGTCTATTTCAATATATTTCCTCTTCTGGGATTTCCCGGGGCAGCATCAAGCTCTTTCTTCATCTGGGCCAGGTGGATTTTCTGAAAGTCTTCCTGAGTTAAAACTCGACTAGTGCTGATGGCTGCAGCTTTGGCTCTCGGCTCCTCCCTCGGCATGCTGTCCAGCTTCCTGGAAATTTCTTGCTGTTCTTCATCAGAAGAGTGGTGCACATCAACCCTCTATCCTCCTTCCCTGTAGCATACTGCACCAGATCTCTTGCTGTTGGTCCTTCATCCTCGGATTCCGAGTCACTGGCCTGTTTCTCATCTTCATCCATTCCCCATCTGCCTCCTCCTTGTCCTCACTGAGACTGGCACTTTCCCAACTGTCTTCATCATTTTCAGCATTCTCTTCTTTCTCAACTTCCAGAACTTCTGCTCCTGGAATGTAATCTTCAGCATCTAATTCTCCATATTCTTGTACTCTTGCTTCTATGGCTGCCTCTGTAGGCTTGCCCCGGAATTTCTTCTGCAGCAGCTGAGGATTCAGCGATCTGAAGAGCTGAATCAAAGTTCTAGCAGACATCATTACATTCTTATCTTTGTGTGTTTTATACTGAGCCACGTCTTGAAGAAGCTCCTCAGTCATGGCTAGAGGACATTGAGCTGTTATATCTTTTATAGCATTGATTCCTACAGTCGTGACTTCCCCAGAGTTCTTGTCAGTAACAAAATTGTTGGCCACTGTCATGAGCAGTGAATGAATGATCTTTGGGGGTGATGAGATGCTTGTGCAACAAAGAGAATCTTTGTTGCTTCTCTTTGGTGGGGCTGCAGAAATCTTTGCACAAAAGGATAGAAGTTGAAAGGAAAAGCTCATGAATCCCTACTAATCATGAGCATTATCTTCACTTCAAACCTCTCCTTGGAGCTCTCGAGCTGCTTTAGTAGTTTTTCTGCAAAATCTTGGGGATCATGAATTAAGTGAATCGTTGAAAAATTAAACACTTCTGGATTTTTCTTCTTTTGTTTCTTTAGGACTTTCATTGCCTTTTCCAACCTCTTCTTGCTGTTAGAACTCTTCTTCCCTGTAGCATACTGCACCAGGAGGTCTCTTGCTGCTGGTCCTTCATCCTCAGATTCCGAGTCACCGTCCTGTTTCTCATCTTCATCCTTCCCAAGAAAGAATGTCAAAGCAGCAACTAGTATCTTAGTGACCGTAGAGAAGCATGCAGTTGTGATAACATTCACAGTTTTGGCATCATTCCAGATGTTCCTCCTATAGAGTTCAACCATCACATCCAAAGACATCTTGGCAGTAGTTGCACTGTTCTCTCTTAACATGGTATACATGAAATTCTGCAACACTACATTCACTTTATTGTTCTTGTGTTTTGCATTTCTATTTTTGATATCAGTCACAATATGTGTATATAAAGTCTTTTGCAGAAGCTTACCATGGCAACAAAGAAGTTCAAAGAAGAGTTCTAATAAACTTGACTGATGAGGTTTTTATTTCTCGGCAAGATCAAAGCTTTGCAAAATGTCATTCGAAGATCTGGATCCAGGAAGGTGTGATTATAGGAGAGAAGATCTTTCAGCTCTTGAGGAAAGTTACTTAGATATTCTGGGTAGCAGTCTGTAACAAAGCAAAGACTCTTCTGAAGTTTCTCTCTTTCTCTCCTATAATTCAGATGCACAGATTTAGGATGTTCTGTGCCATAAACACCACCAACTCTGCTAGTTCTCTTCTGAACTTATTTGGTTGTAATTTAAAAATCTCCACATTGGATTTGTAGTGATTATATTGCTGTAGAAACTCCCCGATGTAGGCCAGTGGGTCCCGCTTGATCAGCTTCTGTAACTGCAGCAGGTTGTTGGGCAGCTTGTTGTTTCTGCTGGACGTGTTGGTGGCAGACTGGCTTCGTGGTGAGCAGTCTAAGAAAACCCACGCTGCTGGCAGCTGCCAGCCAGTCTCAACTACCGCACCTATTTTAAATATTTATAATTAGAAAAATTACTTTAATTATAGTTATACTTTAGTGGTAAGGAAACTCTTTTATTGTAATATGTTTTGTTTTGAAATAATTACAGATTTGTAAGAAATTGTAAACCTACTCTGGAGAGGCCCATGTGCCCTTCAGCTATGTTCCCCCAATGATTATAAGTTAGGTAACTAAAGAATGATATCAAAACCAGGAAATTCATATTAGTCAATGTATGGGCACAGTTCTATGCCATTTCATCAAATCAAATCATTTTATTTATTTATTTATTTATTTTTTGAGACAGAGCCTCAAGCTGTCTTGAGGTAGAGTGCCATGGCATCCAGCTCACAGCAACCTTCAATTCCTGGGCTCAAGCAATTCTGCTTCTGCCTCCCAAGTAGCTGGGACTACAGGTGCCCGCCACAACGCTCAGCTATTTTTTGGTTGCAGCTGTCATTGTTGTTTGGCAGGCCCAGGCTGGATTAGAACCCGCCAGCTCAGGTGTTGTGTGGCTGGCACCTTCGCTGCTTGAGCCACAGGCGCCGAGCCATAAATCATTTTGTTTTAATTACTTAGTTTTCCAAGTTAGTGATGTACTTCCAATCACTAGTAACAGATTCATAGAAACTCTGGACACAGACTGAATGGACTTTAGACAACTCGGTGTCCAGCTCTTCTTCATAGACAAAGCAGCTGACTCATGTCCAGAGGTGACAAGATTCATGCAGTGTCACAGAAATAATGGAATCACAGGGACCAGATATCTGACACCAGAAATCTTTTTTTTCTCTTATATATGAACATTTTTGTTTCGAGTGCTCTTATGTAAATGGGGTTTAATTTTAATCACCATCTTAAATAGAAGGAAATAATTTCCTGTTTCATTGTGTCAGACTGGAAAAGTTGCCAAATTTTGTTCAGGTAAAATTTTTGAAACTTTGAGAGTTTAAAAGTAACTACTACCACCAAAAAAAAAGGAGAAAGAAAAGAAAAGTAACTGTTTAGGGGACAGAAATATACTCTTCATCTTTGAATCCTAGCTGCTGTCACAGTGCTCAACGTGCATGTGTCTACTGAGAGGAATATTATTGTATACTTGTTTTTGCTGCTTTTGTTAAAGAATTTGTATCTTTTTTTTTTTTTTTTTGCGGTTTTTGGCTGGGGCTGGATTTGAACCCATCACCTCCAGCATATGGGGTCAGCGCCTTACTCCTTTGAGTCACAGGAGCCACCCTTTTGCAAAGAATTTAGATCTTTCTCGGGGTTAAAATGTATACATCAAAGCTAACTATATGTCAATAGAAGAAATTTTTCAGTATGTTAAAAGACAAACGAATACACATACAAACCTGCTACCAAACTATGCTTGGTGGCAATTGGAGACATATGATGACTATAAATTGTTTCCTCAAAATTATATATATCTGCAGTCTGAAAACCAAAAGAGATTTAAAGATTGTAAGTTCTAATTATAAAAACAAAGCAATACATTTTTGACTGTTAGCAATTCAGCTTAAACATGGGAATGTAATACCTTCCCAAACCCTGATAATTTAAAATACTATGTTACTATAACATTCTTCTCCCTTTTGTGAGAAAAAAATAGTTTTTCCCTAATAAGTCCTAGAAATTAAGAAAAGACAACCAACCACCTTGCTCACCATCTTCCTCTCTACTCCACGCTGGGGGGCCTCAGCAGCTACACAGACGATTTGGCCAAAACTCTCTCGGTTCCATATAACCTCAGCTACCACATCTGGGACACACCACCCAGAATTGCTCTTCCTTTGAAATCATGCATGCTGGTATTCTATGACCACAAACCTCTATCATTTCTAGCCTTCTCTTTCAACTTTTTTCAAGAAATCCAGGTATACCCTGAAACTCCAGTTCCTTCTGTCTACTTTTTCTCTGCAGCTTAGATTCCAAAGTCTAATACCAGACCAAGTCATTTGCCAGCATCTTCAACTCTTTTGTCATTATCCTTCCACTTGGCAAGACTTTGACCTGGGTGATTCCAAATGTGTCTTTTCTGCACCCATACCCAGACTGATCTACACCAGGAGTTGCCAAACTTTTTCTATGAAGAGTCAGATGGTAAATATTTTAGGCTTTGAGACCAGCTACACATCTTTGCCACTGTAGCGTCAAAGCAGTCATATACAACAAATGAACATGTTTGTGTTCAAAGAACACTTTTCAAAAAGAGGTCACAAGCCAGACTTGTCCACAACCCAGACTGGACAGTCCCTTCTCTACCTAGTTGAATAGAGCAGACTGGTGTCACTATAAAGTATTATTCTTTTCATCTGGGTCTTCAGTAAGGACTGCCAGTCCTACTATAATTTCAGTAGTCTTCTCTGCAATATTCTGCTATTTCAAACATTCTCTGCTCTCCATAAACATCCCCACTCAGTCACAATGCATCATTTGCTCTTTTGTTTCAAAGACAAAACAAGAGTGGCTCAAATAGAATTCCTTTAATTTCTTTTTTTATTTTTTTTGAGATGGAGCCTCAAGCTGTCACCCTGGGCAGAGTGCCGTGGCATCACAGCTCACAGCAACCTCCAACTCCTGGGTTCAAGCAAGTCTCCTGCGTCTGCCTCCCAAGTAGCTGGGACTATAGGCACCCGCCACAACGCCTGGCTATTTTTTGGTTGCAGCCATCACTGTTGTTTGGTGGGCCCAGGCTGGATTCGAACCTGCCAGCTCAGGTGTACATAGCTGGTGCCTTAGCTGCTTGAGCCACAGGTCCCGAGCCCCCTTAATGTCTTAACAACAGACCTACAAACACATTTGCTTCCACTTACCCTTTTTCCTTCTTTACTAATGTTATTATGTTAAAAATGATCCCTCGTTATTTTTAAGGTTAATCCCTCTACTTATGTTCAGGTTCCCTTCAGTGCTGTCAGAAATCTTACCTCTTAGTTTACACTGTAGGTATCTGGAACCTCTCTCTCTACTAGCTCATTTCCAACAGCATTAAACGTTTAGATTTCTTTCATGTTAACAGCACCCTCTCCCCAAGACAATAAGTAAATAAATAAAAAGGCTTTCATCCTACATCCTCCCTAGTTAACCTTTTCTCCTGTTAAAATACACATTTTGGCTATCTTTGACTCCTTGTTTCCCATGTATTTCTCAGCTCACTGCAATCCTATTTGTAATTCTAGTACTCAAATTCATACTTCTCTTCCAATATCACAAATAACCTCCTCATCTTATCTGTCAGTCATATTCAACACATACTCCTTAAAACAATCTCTTTCACTGGCTTCCATTACATCATATACTCCTGATTTTATGCTTATTCCTTTTCATTGTCTTTTGTGGGCTTTGTTGTTCCTTTTTCTGTCCTATTAGTTTTTGTCTTCTTTGGAGTTTTGTCCTATGTATTCTTCTAACTGCCACCAATGCATTATGGGTTAGGTACCCCTTATCAGAAATGGGGGACCAGAAATGCTTCAGATTTTAGAGTTTTTCTGGACTTGGGAACATTTACATTATATTTACTGGTTAAGCATCCCAAATCTGGAAATCTGAAATCCAAAATGCTCCAATGAGCATTTTTTTTGAGCATTATGTTGGGGATAAAAAATTTCATATTTTGGATTTTGGATTTTTGAATTAGAAATACTCAATCTGCAGTGAAGCACAAAGCTGTATTTTCAGTGCAGACCTTATTCCTCAATTCCAGATATGTATAGCTCAATCACTGTATTATTTCCATTTGGATTTCTTGTAACCCCCTCAAATAGAACAAATGTAAAATTGAACTAATGATGCACCCCTCCCTCTGTACCTTAGTACATAATATAATCCACCCAATCCCTAAGCGAGAGAACCTAAGGTATTTCATTTTTTTAAAGAATGGCATTGTTGAGATACAAACCATACAGTACATCCATCTAAAGCATCCACTTAAATGGCTTTTAGTGTATCTATAGAGTCATGCAAGTATCATTCAAAGACATTTTTAGACATTTTCATTACCTCAAAAAAATACCCATAACCGTTAGTCATTCCCATTTCTTACTCTGGCCTAGGAAACCATTAGTAAACTTTCTGTCTCTATAGATTTGCTGATTCTTGACATTTCCTAGAGACGGCACTACACATACATTGTTTTTTTTTTTTTTTTTTTTTTTTTTGAGACAGAGCCTCAAGCTGTCCCCCTGGGCAGAGTGCCGTGGCATTACAGCTCACAGCAACCTCCAGCTCCTGGGCTCAAGCGAGTCTCCTGCCTCCGCCTCCCAAGTAGCTGGGACCACAGGCGCCCGCCACAACGCCCGGCTATTTTTTGGTTGCAGCCGTCATTGTTGTTTGGCGGGTCCGGGCTGGGGATTCGAACCCGCCACCTTAGGTGTACGTGGCTGGCGCCTTAGCCGGTTGAGCTATAGGCGTCGAGCCACATACATTGTTTATTGTAATCTTTCATTTAGCAAGTTGTCAGGGTTCATCCATATGGCAGCATGTATCAGTACTTTATTTCTATTTATTGCTGAATAATATTCCACTGGAAGAATATACCACATTATTTTTTATTTGTCCATCAGTCGATGGACATTTCAGTTGTTTCCATTGTTTGGCAGCATAAATAATGCTGCTATGGGCTTGGCGCCCGTAGCTCAAAAGGCTAAGGCACAAGCCACATATGCTGGAGCTGGCGGGTCTGAATCTAGCCCGGGCCTGCCAGTAGTCCCAGCTACTTGGGAGGTTGAGGCAAGAGAATCACTTAAGCCCAAAAGTTTGAGGTTGCTGTGAGCTGTGATGCCAGGGCATTCTACCGAGGATGACAAAGTGAGACTGTCTCAGAAAAAAAAATAATGCTGCTATGAACATTTACATATGAGTTTTTTTGCAGACATATGTTTTTATTTCTCTTGGGTCTATACCCAGGAATGGAGTTGCTTGATCATATATTAACATTTAATTTGTTTTTACTTTTATGTATTTTTTTTGGGACAAGAGTCAGTTTGTCACCCTTGGTAGAGTACCATAGCATCACAGCTCATAGCAACCTCCAACTCTTGGCCTCTAGCGATCCTCTTGCCTCAGAGTAGCTGGAACTACAGGCGCCTGCCACAGTGCCTGGCTATTTTTAAAGACAGGGTCTAGCTTTAGCTCTGGCTGGTCTCTAACTCCTGAGCTCAGGCAATCCACCTGCAGTCAGCATCCCAAGTGCTGGGGTTATACGAGTGAGCCATTGTGTCTGGCTACATTTAAAATTTTTGAGGAACTGTTTTCCAAAGCAGCACCATTTTACATTCCTGCCAACAATGTAGGAGGGTTTCGATTAATGCACATCCTCACCAACATTTGTTATCTACCTTTTTTATTTCATCTATCCTAGCAGATGTGAAGTGATTGATATCTTACTGTGGTTTCGATTTGTATATCTGATGGCCATTTTTGATTCGTCACTCTTGTTAATAGCTAATTAATTTCCAACTCCTGTCAGTTCTCTCATAAATAACCTTCTATTTCTGTCTATCCTTATTTTCTTTACATTTAGCAGATGCACAATAAATTATTTCTTACTGAATCTTTTCATAAAACGCTGTCATACTTTTACTTCAGATAGCATTATAAATTCATGGACTACTGTTCTGAGTTGGCAAAACATTTATGCTCTAAAGAAAATTTAAATTCATGATGTCTTTTCTTAGGGTTTTATTTTATTTTATTTTATTTTTGCAGTTTTTGGCTGGGGCTGGGTTTGAACTTGCCACCTCCAGCATATGGGGCTGGTGCCCTACCCTTTGGAGCTACAGGTGCC